TCATTTTTCGACATTTTTGAAATGAATTGATTGACATATATAAACTCCTAGGTTATTTATTATTGAATAAAACACTGTACATAAAATAATTTAATATGTAATTACTGAAAATATATAAAAACAGAAATTAAATGATAATTCACCAACAAAAATATAAATTGAAAAATATAACAATAATTCATCACATTGAACATAAAAGGAACTTCTATTGACGTTTTCTCAACATCTAAATATTTATCAGTAATAGATATCTAACTCAAAATGTTAAATCACAATTATCATGAACTTCTTCAATAGGTTGAGCTTTTACATTTCTTCTCATAAGTGAATGACTAGGCTTAAATTCGAAACATTTATCTTTTCCCAGCAAAAATTTCGTATGGAGTAAAGCGTCGCACGTGGAAACATGAAGCCTATTGCGGTTTTTTGTTTTGATTAATGAAAGCTGAGAAAAAATCCTTTCCACTGTTGCTGATGAATGTGGTAAACTCAACATTCCTTTTATAAAGTTCGACACCTCAGGAAACATAAGCTCATCAAGTCCATTTCTCATATTGAAGATTTCTGACCAAAATTCAACTAGTGGCTTGTCTGCAATTTTTTTTAATTCTTCTGTCAGCCAACAACCTCCACTCTGAATTAAGTTCCTCAATATTGGTATATAATTTTTTGAATCTGCTCGCAATTGGCACTAATGATTGGCAGTCTCCAGAGACCACAACAGATGGATCTAGATTTTTCATGAATTTTAAAACAGGGTCATTGAAGTTAAATCTACTTTGTATTTGTTTGGACAATTTGTAACCAACCATTTAATAATTAAAAGGTGTTCTACACAAACACTGGTTTAGGCTGATTACCCTCAATCCAAAGATTTGCAGGATCGAGCAAGATTCTTGGTTACAAAAATAGTGTTTAAAGTGTCTAATTATATGTAGTGGAAATTAGACACTGACTAACTCAGTGGGACACTGGGATGAGTACGGTTGGCAGGGTGAAATTATGATCCAAGAGTTGTCTATATCATTTACTGAAACTGCGAAAATCTAATAATTCACAAGTTAATAATCCACGATGTTACGTAACAGTAAGGTTCAAAATATCCAAAAGGTTATGCTGAAATGCTTTTCATTGCCAAACAAATACCTGATTTTTCAATGTAAGTTGAATATTATTGAAGGTTACGTGAAATATAAGATTTTGCAGTGCAGTGGTAAAATCTTCACAGGAGCTTGGTGGTAGTTTTCACGTAGGTAGCGTAATCGGAACGAGCTTACCAAATTGCAGACAGGTTACTCATTCACTAAGTATTTATACGGGTAGATCCAGACGATGACTCCGCAGGGTAGCAGCTCAACAACGGCGAGCACCCTGTGGCTTCCAAATACAACAACGGTGGACCAGGTGTCACACGTAGGGACTGTCAGTCCACCATGGGATTGATGCCCACAAAAACATTAGACAACGGATAAGGAGAAAAATAAAAGCCCTGAAAAATTATCAATATGAACCAGTGTTCCTAGACCTATTGAAGACAATTATAACAGCAGTGACATACCTTTGGTTGATGTGCGGGCTTGTATGTGGCTGGTGGAAGCGGTTGAATTAATCCCCTACAATCAGGGTATTTTGTCCCAAAACCAGAGACCAAAATATACTTCACGTGAAGAAGGCAATGGATCCCACTAACAGTAGATTTGTTTCAAACTATACAAATATAAGAAACCTCCTTTCACAAACCGTTCCAACCAGATCTAGATTATTTATAGCAACACAATTGAACTGCAATATGGTCGCTAGGTAGCCTCTTCTAGGAACCAGGAAACCAGAGCAACTCACTTATTTCGTAGTCAGGGTAACTGAACTGCTCAGATACTTCACAGAGGAACAGAGAGCACGGAAAAATATACTAGATGATCAAATTGACTAGTCACCACCGATTATATTAAATACAGCCAAAAGAGGTTGAATAATCGTGCTGGGAAATCACAAGGTGGAATATTGCGATATGGAGTGATAAATTGTCATTGCAAATTTGGCCTTTAGTAAACGATACAGTCTATAATGTAACAAAAATATGACTTGTAACAAATTCTACATAAAATTCCAAACATTCAAATTTGAATCCATGTAATTCAGTCTTATCAATATTTGTGCTATTCATTATCATTTCACAGTTTGCTCCAAAATAAATGTCATTTATTTTCTTATAATTATGGGGATGCAAATTCACCTTATCATGAGTTATCTGTTTGTTCAAATATTCATTATCAATGAAGTTCTTCAATATTGATTTGAATATACTACCTATTATACTATCTAGTAGATGTAGTTTTGGTGTTTCACTTTCGAATTCCTTATTCATAGTGTTCATAACAAAATAAAACTTCAAAGGCTAAAATACAATTTGAATATAGGTTGTTGTAGAGCTTCCAAGATATTTTGAGGGTTGATAGCACTACCTCTATCATAAACTTCATTAGTGAAGAATAATGTTAATGGCTGCCACTGCTCTAGAATGCGATCAACAACTGCTTGTAGAGAAAGCCACCTAGTTTGACTTAGTTTTAGAAGTTTATGCTGAGGTGTTTCAAGAAACTTTTGAAATTCCTGAAACTCATCTAGGCGTTTTGAACTATGAGAAAAGTAAGAAACAATGTGCTCACGACTTGTGAGTACGGGAATGGCAATCCCGAGGTACCCTAGCCGGATACTCATTAATCTTCAACTTGTCTTTGATGGTATCCTCTTCACTCTTCAGTTTCCAATCTTTTTCTTCATCGGCCTCCCTTGATCACTTTTCCTCTTTTCCTTCTCCCCTAAAGCCCAACCTCACCATAGTGCGGGGAGGACAAGCAGCGGCTGCTCGGCAGATTGAGCATTTTGGGAGCATCTTTGCTGTCATCACTCAGATGGGACAGTTTTGTGGACATCTGAGTGCGAGGATGGGGCAATTTGTGAACATCTGCTTATGTGGCCGCGGATTGATAACGAGGCTCTGGCAATCCCCTCAGGAGCTCACAACTTGTGAGTACGGGAATGGTGAACCCGAGGTACCCTAGCCGAATATTCACCATACTTCAACTTGTCTTGGGTGATATCCTCTTCACTCTTCCGTTTTCAATCTCTCTATCGACCTTTCTTGGCCAACTTCTCTTTTCCTCTTCTCCTCCAAGCCCAACCTCACCATCAAGTGGTGTGGGGAAGGCAGGCGGCGGCCGCTTGACAGATGAAGCATTTTGGGACCATCTTTGCTATCTTCTGCCAGATGGGACAATTTGTGGACATCTGTGGCAGGGATGGGGCGATTTGCTGATGTCTGTCTAGGTGGTCGAGGACTGGTCAACGAGGCTCTGACAACCTGATCCAAGCTGTGGAAACCCGTGGCGATGGATGGATGGCACCGAAGAATGGTGTCGTTAACGAGGCCTCTGGGAAACAGGGCGACATCCCAGAGTAAACAGCATTAGCCCTGTGCTGGAAGCACCACAGGGCTGGACCAACCCCTTTCCCCGTCACTCGTAGGAGAAGGAAAGCTTTTGGCCTTCTTCGTAGACAATAACAGGGATCGGAATAGCAATATTCAGGAACCTGAACGGGAAGGGTCTTTCATATTGAAGTGGCCCTTAATAGGCACCATGAGTCGTATGTGGTAAAATTGATAACGAAACAATGTCCCGTGCCAATGTCTCTACTGATGTAGGTAACTTCTTGCATGCAGCTGTAGAACACAATGCCAAAGAATGGCAAACACATCCCAGCACATAGATATCTGGAATTCCTTTTTTAAATCTTGATTGCACACTGTTCATTTTACCCTGCATGACAGATGCATTATCTGCTGCGAAGCCGATGATTTGGGTAAGTGGCACATTGATTTGAGATAGAAATTGTTTTATTGCTTTGAATAACCCTTCAGCATCTCCACTCTCAACTTTTAGGAGCCCCAAATATCTATCTCTCACATTAGCATCTGCATCCTTGTAATACCTAGCTGTCATTGCTAAACATTTAGTTGTGGAGATGTCTGTTGACTCATCAATTATTAATGAAAACCAAGATTTCCTCAAATCAGCACTAATATTGTCTATACCTTTCCAACTTCAATTTCGGAAAAAGTAATCTCAATTTCAGAATTGGTTAGTTCGATTTCAGAAATGGTAAACTCAATTTCAGAATTGGTGAGATCAATTTCAGAAAAAGTACATGCAATTTCAGAAATGGTAAGTTGTATTTCAGAATTGGTAGGTTCAATTTCAGAAAACAAATCCTTATATTTGTTCGAAACGTTTCCAATTGTATGTGAGATTAACAAACCATATTTACAATATTCAACTTTTCAAAAACAACTCGATAGCATGATTATAATCTCAATTTAATCCACAGATGCCTTCCATCCGAATCGCTGGAAGATAATAGCGTTGCACATGATTATGAGAATGCAAACACATTTGAGGTGTTATCATTTTCATTGAATGATCTGCACATTCCTCAAGACATCGCAGTCTGAATTCTATCTGGTTGAGCAAGCTGTTCGGATCCCCAGCTATGACCCTTTGGCGATACTCTTGCAAGAAGCTCTTCACTTCTGACTTGAAGGCACCCCATATTTATGTTCGATCTGATTCAACATAGGGCTCTCAAACACCGTTCATCCACTGTAAACAATCTTCTCTTTTGCAATTAAGAACATTCCAAAGAATTTCATCTTCTGAAATTGAACCTACCAATAATAATTCTGAAATACAACTTACCATTTCTGAAATTGAATGGACTTTTTCTGAAATTCATCTCACCGATTCTGAAATTGAGTTTACCATTTCTGAAATCGAACTAACCAATTCTGAAATCGAGATTACTTTTTCCGAAATATAACTCACCGATTCCGAAATTGAAGTTGAAAAGGTATAGATTTTCTGGTCCTGTAATATCCTTGCATATGGCAGTACCCTTTTTACGCCCAATTTTTCAGGTTTTTAGCCACTTGTGAATCGAAACACACTGATGATATTAGCTTGGTGAAATGATCTAACAGGGTAAATGACAGATTATGATCTGCCAGAAACATAATGATTTTTATTTCACCTTCTTTGACTCCTTCCTTCAATCGTTTGACTTCATTTCCTTCCTTAATGTATGAACTTACATTAGTGGTTGATCTTGATGTACTGATTTTTTGAACGTGGGATTTAGTTTTTGCATGTCTATTAATATGTGTGTTATATGGTAAAATGAGCACACTCAGTATATATCGAGTTACCAGATAACAGCTTCTCAGTATTTTCATATGGTGAGAAGCAGAATCAGCATTGATCATATTTCTATCTGCTTCCTACAATTTCTAGGATCAGCGCTGACACTGCAGATTCGATATTATAAAAGGACCCTGCGTGGCAACCTTGGCGATCAGTATAGTTAGAATTAGTCTAGTAGTAATATGGCAGAGAGCCATCAGAATTTTCAAGTAAACCATTGTCATTTGAATAAAGTAACTTGTCAGTAGAAAAGTGTTTTTTAAAAAGTGAAATCTCAAAGTAGAGATATAACAATTGGCGCAGTCGGTAGGATCGGCAAACGTTATCAGAACAAGAAATTGGTCTAACTAATAGCGGTGGATTCCAATCCTTCAACAACGAAGAACCAACAACCCCGAGGAGTCACCACTTGAAGAAGACAGCGGAAGGAACACCTAGTGAAGCCCCTGGCTGGACGACTTCGAGAACACGACGAATCACAGATGAGAAGAACAATACTGTAAGTGATACCGAAACATCTCGTATTTTTTTATTTGCACCTTTGAAATTTTGAAACTGTTCGATTATCTATACCCTGAACTTCCCTATACAAAATGGCAGAAAACGGTCTTGGTGAAAACGAAGATCATGAAGTCGAAGTAGAACCGTATAGACTATCAGAAATATTTTCAATCGTGCCCGAATTTGAAGGAGATCAAATCTTCCTCAATACATTCCTGAACGCTTGTGACTGTGCGTATCGCATGGCCGCAGTGGATCAGAGACTATTCCTAGTGATTCACATAAAAAATAAGTTGCGTGGGAGAGCCGCACAACTTATAAGTTCAAGAAATCCAACTACCTATCATGAAATTAAACATCTGCTAAATTTGCACTTTGGAGATTCTCGTGACCTTACGTCGCTGATACAAGACCTCCAAATCATCAAACAACTACCGAGCGAAAGTGCTTTGACATTTTTCAACCGTTTGCAAGTGCTGAATGCAAAAATGCATTCTTGTGTACAAAAATCTATTCTCACTGCTGAACAAAAGCAAGCACAATCTCATTTAATCGAAACAATGGCACTTAATACATTGCTTACCGGACTCGAACCACGTTTAGGTCAAATAATTCGCGCTTCGAATCCAGCAGACTTATTAGAAGCACATATTCGAATAAGACGCGAACTACAGTTGTCGTACTTTGAAAACCAAAAGAAAGAAACTCAAAGCATTTCACGTCCTCAACAAATGCCTAGGAGACCTCAAATGCTCACAACGACAAGAACTTGTCACTCTTGCGGTCGCGCTGGACATATTTCTAGTGAATGTCGACTAAGACAACAACGAATGCTACCAAATAATAGTCAAAATTTCACCCAAAATCCTAACCCAAATTTCCAAAGACAACAAAATTTCCAGCAACGTCCAAACCCATTCCAACAAAACAGACCATCAATGAACGATCAGAATTTCAATAGACCCCAATATCAAAGTCAAAACCAACCTCGTCCTTCAGTTATTCATCAAAATCCAAATTTCCAAAATCGACCAAATCAACAAAGAGCACTTGTCGTTAATTACCAAAATCAAGACTATCATACTGCTGATAGCTCCAATCAAATCTATCATACTGCTGATAGTGACACATATGAAGATTTCCAAAATCAATATCATGAAAATCAATACACAAATGACTATTATACCGATAATGGTCAAGAATATGATCAATTGCTTAACTTGAATGAAACTTCTGATTATCAGGATTTTCTTTCACTCCCGAATCAACACAACCGTCCTGGTCTCAATCCAACAACCCACCAAACACAACCAACCAACCCTATGACCCAATTAGAGACACAAATCCAATCATTGAACATCAACGAATTCAATCCCGATCTGAACTTCCCGGAACAAAACTTCATGTAAGTTCTTTACTGTCCGTAAATTCCAAGAATCTATATTATATTAATGACAGTACGAATACATTCAAAATACTGATAGATACCGGAGCAGGCATATCAATATTCAAACGTAAAACTTGCGAAAAATATCCTCACAGATTTCCAGAAAATATAACAGTTCAAGGTATCACAGATCAAAAAGTCATAATAAACGAATCAACTCTCATTAATTTCAAACAAAATGATCCTCATAAAGTGAACGTCTATGATTTAGATATCGACTTTGACGGTTTGTTAGGTTCAGATTTCCTAGAACACTACAATTGTGTTATAGACCTGAAAAACCGACAGCTAATAACTAACTTTAAGACTGTACCATTATTTAAAGTGACAGACAATAATGAACCTGACTACAAAATTCACAACCAAATTTCAATCGAACCTCGTACCGAGAAAATTTTCAAACTAAAATGTAGCCTCGCAAACACTGACGCTATACTGTTAGCGCAAGAAAAAGAAAAAGTTAGACTACCAAATGCCGTAGTACGAATCAACAATAACGGAGAATTTCTCACTTCAGTAATAAACGCTAATGCAATACCAAAAAAGATCGACTTTTCAGACTTTGAACTAGAACCTTTGCCAACTAATGAAACAATTCTTAACCTCAACTCGGACTTCAGAAATTCCGACTCATTCCCGTGTGACAGAATCCAAGAAATCAAAAATCAATTACGAACTGATCATTTAAATGACGAAGAAAATCAACTGATTACAGACTTATGTTTACAATACTCTGACATATTTTACCTCGAAGGTGACGATCTGACATTTACTAATGAAATAAAACACAGTATAGATACCAAAGATTCCAGGCCCGTATTCACAAAATCATACAGATATTCACAGATACATAAAAGCGAAGTTAAATCACAGATTTCAAAAATGTTTCAGCAAGGTATAATACAACCCTCTATTTCACCGTGGTCATCCCCTGTTTGGGTAGTCCCAAAAAAAATGGATGCCTCCGGCAAACAAAAATGGAGAGTGGTTATCGACTACCGTAAACACCCAATCATTGATTGACTATTCCAAAATTGAATTCGACAATTCACAACTATTGGACAAATCAAACAAGAACATCATTGTTTTTCTATGGCAGAATAAACTCAAAGACTTTCATGTTACCATAAACGAAGACATTTTTGAAGAAAACACAGACTTTGACAGTGACATAATAAATGTATTCAGTAGCAAAACAGTCAAAGATCGAAAATATTTCATCATAGTACTACCCTATGATCTGGAAGTAGTTATTGTTGCGTAACGAACTATCGAATTACGAGGGAAGGTTGGAGATTAGTAGACTCACCAGAGTGGACTGTATCGTGATGTGGACTTGGATGTTCTCGTCCGATGTAGATTCGGTAGGCCTACCTTTCAGCTCCTATTTCCTCGAATGTCTATTTTAATGATTCTAGCACTGGACATCCATTGATACACGATTTGTAGCACTAGCGAAAAAATGCTTAACAAAAGGAACCAGTATTTTGCAAGAACCACCCAAAGATGCCGGTCACTCGTCTTTCGATGACTATATCTGTTCGTCCATGTGTCTATCCCACCAACCTTCTCAGACACGCGCTTTTTCATACAATCTCAACTCGGACTTCAGAAATTCCGACTCATTCCCGTGTGACAGAATCCAAGAAATCAAAAATCAATTACGAACTGATCATTTAAATGACGAAGAAAATCAACTGATTACAGACTTATGTTTACAATACTCTGACATATTTTACCTCGAAGGTGACGATCTGACATTTACTAATGAAATAAAACACAGTATAGATACCAAAGA